TAAAATATTCAATGAGTTTAACAGCGGCTGAGAAAGATATCGTTAGGAATACCTGGGCTCTGGTCAGAACGGATGTCAAAGGAAATGGATCTGATTTATTCCTAAGGTATATACAATTGTTTTAAATTAAATTTTTATTTTAATAAATAAATAAAACTTTAATTTTCAAGTTATTAATACCAGAATTAATAGATATACTAAATAACTTTTTGTATAATTAAGTATAGTCAATAAAATAAATTAATAATTTACAATTAAAATAATTTTAACAAATACTCTCAATTTAATATGTTAACTATTAGAAATTAGTAATTGATCATGTATATTTTGTACAGACTATTCGATGAGAACCCCACATACCAGGGCCTATTCAAGGCGTTCAAGGATGTGCCCAAAGCTGAACTCCGGGGTAATAAGCGATTCGTGGCTCACGTGACAAACGTTATGTACAACCTATCAATGCTTGTGGACAACATCGACGACACGGATGTGTTGGTTGAGATGTTGGCCAAAATGGGAGACAATCACAACAGACATAAGACCACTCTTCAGATGTTTGTGAACCTCAAGACCAGTCTGTTTGGACTTCTGGTCGACAAACTCGGACCCACTGTCATGACTGCCGATGCCGTTACCGCTTGGGATAAGACTTATTCAGTCATATTATCTGTTGTTAAGCCTATATTAGAGAAACCAGAATAAAGTTAAGAGAATATTCTCGATTAGAATACAAATTGATATTATTGTCATTTAATCAATCTAGTTTAAATAGAAATTTAGTAGGTATTACATTTTGCACTTGTATTATGAAATTAGCATACAATTACAGTAAATTTAAAATAATGAAAATAAAATTTAAAATACAAGCACACATTTTATCTTGTGTTAAATTATAAAAATACAAACAAAGTGGATCCTTAATAAATATTAAATAAAATGCAAGTGTTGAGATAAAGTTAAACAAATTCATAAGGTTTGTAATATTCGGTGCAGAGTGCACTAAAAGTATTAATAAAACTAGTTTTATTTTTTTTAAATAAATTGATAAATTGTTGAGTACTTTTCAGTGTATACTTACCACTGGTAAGTTATCAGTCAATTAATTGATATAGCAATTTATCACTTTATTATCACATTATTACGTAATATTTCTGTTACAATAAACACATGTATATAATATAAAGTTAAACCAATAATTTAAATTCTATACAAAATTATATCAATATTTAAATACAATAAATGACTAATTAAGGATTGATTTTCTATTATATTATTTTTATAAATGTATGTTGATATTATTTATTTTAATAAAAATTTATTATTATGTAAACTGAATTATATGTTTAACCCATATTAATTGCAAAAATTATTGTTGATTAAATCAATTCAAGGTTTACGATAAATACTTTGCTAAATAAAATCAATCNAACCCATATTAATTGCAAAAATTATTGTTGATTAAATCAATTCAAGGTTTACGATAAATACTTTGCTAAATAAAATCAATCTTAACATTACTTGTTATTTGTCGGACATTTAGTGCACTGATAGTCTGAAACACATTTTATTTCCCGTACCTTTCCTGTTCATACTATAAATACTAAACATTTTTATATGACTTTTAATATCCTAACATATTTTAGTAAATAGTCATAAATTAATATTTTAATTTTATGTAAAAAGATTTTATGGTTTAACTTATCAATTGTTTTAATTCTCATATAATAAGTGTTATAATAATGTCTGGAAATAAGATCCGGATCGGTATCATAGGTGGTGGTGCTTCGGGTGCCACCGCTTGTAAGGCATGTCTGGAGGAGGGCTTTGATGTCGTGGTGTTTGAGCGCTCGACATATACGGGAGGGTTGTGGCGATACCACGACGAGGACGTGGATGGTGTGGCCTCTGTGGCCAAGTCTACGATCATTAACTCCAGTAAAGAGATGTCCGCCTTTTCCGACTTCCCGCCGCCCAAAGAGTTCCCTAATTATATTTGTGGCGATACCACGACGAGGACGTGGATGGTGTGGCCTCTGTGGCCAAGTCTACGATCATTAACTCCAGTAAAGAGATGTCCGCCTTTTCCGACTTCCCGCCGCCCAAAGAGTTCCCTAATTATATGCATAACTCCAAAATGGTATGAATATTGCCCTGGAATGTTTGATTTTATTGTTTATTTTGGCATTAATTATAAAAGTAATTATTTTCTAAGGGTAAATTATACAGTATCTGTTATGATCTTTAATGTTTATCTACTATTTACAATTCATATTTATTAAAATATATAAGCTAATTAATTAGTGTTTAAAAAACATATTTTGAAAATATATCGCCTAATTATTAACGTATTTAATTTCAGGTAAAATACTTTGACTTATACGGCGATAAATTTGGTTATGAAAAGTACGTTAGGTTTCGACACGATATCATAAAACTGGAGCCCAATGGGGACTATGAGAGCACCGGCAGGTGGAAGATAACGGCTAAAGATAACAACAACGCCGGCAAACTAACTGAACACGTGTTTGATGGGGTAATGGTGTGCACCGGACACCATGTGACACCACAAGTTCCTACATTTAAGGACCAGCATCTGTTCAAAGGACAGGTAGTTCACACGCACTCTTACAAAAAGCCCGATCCCTATAGCGATAAGAAAGTGGTGGTCGTAGGGATCGGCAATTCTGCTGGTGACGCCGCTGTTGAGTTGTCCACAGTCTCCGAGAAGGTGAGTGTCTAGTTGAGCACCGGTAGTCTCTATAAAACTGACATTTTTGCTATTAGTTAAATATTTTTATAAAATCAGTACAATTATTACCACTTATTTGGTGAATTCACAAAAAAGACATAATTATAAAATAGCATTAAAATCGTAAATAATTAACCAGGTATATTTATCAACTCGCACGGGCACCTGGATAACATACAGAGTGGGCCACAATGGAAAGCCGTCCGATAGCACTTTCCTGAGACGTTCAAAAAATGTCTTGCAATCGCTCCTACCCTACGACACCGTGTGTTCATTGGCAGAAAAGGAAGCCAACAAACGGATAGACCACGAGGAATACCAATTGAAGCCCAAACACCGATACCTATCCCAACACGTGTTTGTCAACGACGCCCTCCCCAATCGCATACTGTCCGGCACTGTCAGTGTTAAGCCCGATATCGATAGGTTTACACCCAATGGAGTCATATTCAAAAGTATGTCCGCTATAGTAAAATTGTAACAGGGTTATAATTTATTTAATTATAATAAAATTTAATTACAATTTAAGGTGAAAGTCAAGAGACTCCGTGCGATGTCGTACTACTGGCCACCGGCTATAAAGTGTCGTTCCCTTTCATATCGCAATCGCTAATACCGGTCAGGAATAATCAGGTGGAGCTCTATAAGTACATGTTCTCACCCAAGTTGGCCCACCCCAAGACACTGGCCTTTATATCGCTGATACAGCCGATCGGCGCTATACTACCCATAGGGGAGATGCAGTCGCGTTGGTTCGCACAACTGATGGCCAATAAACTGAAACTACCGGACAGGCAGACCATGTCTGCGGAGATCGAGACAAAGAAACAGTTAATAAGACAACGATATTATAATAGCGACCGACATACCATTCAAGTCGATTGGATCAACTTTATGGACGAGTTGGCAGCACAGGTAGGCGTTAAGCCGCCGCTACTCAAGTACTTTTTCACTGACCCGGAGCTGTGGCGGGCACTGGTGTTTGGACCCTCCGTCCCCTACCAGTACAGACTTGAAGGTATTATTTATAATAATATTTTTTTGTTGGCCTTTGTATTAATGATTGTGTTTGTGGTGTAGGTCCCCATTCGTGGTCGGGGGCCAGGGATGCCATACTGACGGTTGAGGACCGCATTGGGGCGGCACTTAAGACCAGAGCACCGGACAGTCGTAAATCCCGGGGCACTAAAAGTTTGCTGACATTCACCCGATTTGTTGGACTCATATTACTCGTAATTTTTGCTTATCTATTGAATTTAATTTTCTGAAGTAATTCAATATTTGACTGATTTGATTGATTATTTACATATTATTACTTTTTTATTAATGCTAATTTATCAATTTTTGATATACCGTACAATTTGTAATGTATGATGAAATTAATATTATAAATTAAAAACAGTAATGTTAAAATGAATTTAAAAGTTCATTTAAGTGAAATCACATTTAAACTCACTGGCCTACTTTACCCTCATACTTCTGCGATTATTTGGTAACATTTTTTTGCAGTTTTTATTAAATCTATTTCAATATATTTATTTTTAAATTATAAGTATCGTTTAAGCAAGTTTAATCAGTATATTATTTATATTAAAAATAAAACACAGTAAATTATTTTTAAATAATTTATTTAAAATTTAAATAGTAATAAATAATACAGATAATTTCCTAAATGAATAACAAATTTTGTATTAGTTTATCAAAAAAATTTTTAATACTCGACATAAATACTTTGAAAATACTAAATGATGTATGAATAATAACTAATAAGT